TATATCCGAAGTTTGTTATATCCGCAGTTGGAAAAAAAAATGTTTTGTACCAATAATTTTATTTACTATTCAACTCAAAAGAGCAACACAAAGATCAATAACAACCTCATCAGGTGTTTTTGGAGAAGTACTTTGTGATTTTCTTTTGACATTTAGAAGTCAGTAACAAGTGCTGAACACTCTTTTCGATGTTGTCCAAGTCTGACAGATGCCTATGAAGAGACTTGGACTCATCCTGACATTGAAGAAACAATCGCAGAGTTTGAATGCTCTCCAAGACCTCTTTTGGATGCGGAATGTGGACAATTGGGTCTACTTCTTCATCAACTTGGTCCGTTTCTTCTTCTTCTTTTTGCTCTCCACAAATGTTGCGCAGCTTGATGCCATGCCTTGCCTTCCAACGCTCGATCCATCCACCACTCCCAGTAAAATCCTTTAATCCAAATTCAAGAGCCAGGCTCTTCGCCTTTTCGGAAAGCAATGGACCATTAACTGGAAGCGCTGCACTTCTTGCCTGCTTGAACCACTGCAGCAGAGCCTCATCAACATCAGCATATGTAGATCCACGTGCTCGTTTCCGACTGCTTTCTCCCGCATGCAGAGCTTGTTGGTGGATCTTCTCAGAGTTCTTTATTATGGTGCTGAGCGACGACTGTGGGATATTATGTTTCTGGGCAACATCTGTCTTTTTCTTCTTCTCCACTTCAATCTCTCTTAGGATTTGCAGCTTGACTGACAGAGATAGTGAGTTTCTTGTTTGTTTTCGTTCTCCTGCCATGGTAAACGTTAATAAAATATAAGCGTTTATTAAACAATTTAATTTTGTTTAAATAATGTAAAAAAAATACTTATAATATGTTTGCATATTTTAAAATTGTATATTATTAACTTATTTGTTGTGTATCATTAAATTTGTGTCATTCACACGTTGTAATTTGATATATATTATGCATAGTATATTAGTCAATTATAATGGTAAATGAGAAAACTTCGTTATAAACGGATAAAATAAAAATTTATACATGCAAATCACTTCGTTATAAGCGAAAATTCTTTATATCCGACTTCGCAATACCCAGAGTTCTTTTAATGGTTTAAGCCCTTTTCTTTCGTGCAGACAATTTCATTCGCTATATGCGGAATTTCGCTATAACCGACTTTGTTATAAGCGGAGTACACTGTACTTGGATCTGTTACTATTAAATTATTGTCGATTCTATAGTCTTGAAAAACGGGACAATCTAGTAAAGATTCATTTCACAGAATATTCATAACATATATATATTCAAAGTATATATATATTATATAATCTAAAAACTCAAATATTTCTATATATAAAAAATATATATTTCATTTTATTAATTGATAATTTTACTTTTGTTATCATCGTTTTAAGAAAGACTTTCAGTTTTGTTGTAAATATGCGTAGTTAACATATCTATCTTTTTATATCACTAATATAGGATTAACTTTATAAATTCTATATAATGTGAAAATAACTAATGTGTAATCTTTCCTCAAGTAATTGAAAATAAAAGCTACTTGACGGTAAATAATTATCTTTTTCTTATCACGACTGCACCTTCAACCCTTTATCTTATCGATCCTTTGTCTTATCAACCCTTTCTCTAACAACAAACAAATTATTCATAACATATATATACAAATATTTTAATTTTGTATTAATATTAATATTGTTTTATTTTAAAAAGAATATTACGCCTCTAAAATAGTTTTATAATTTGATAACAGATGGCGCTCTAGTACATCTTAACAAATATATAGCCGGGAGGAAATTGATCTATAAAACAAAGGTCGCCTCTCTCGCCAAATAGACGCTAAAACTAAGCGTCATCTATTAACCGTCTCTGCAAACTAGTGGACTCAGGTCGTTAACAAAGCCACAACACCAGCTTTGATGAAGTGAGAGGCATCCTCCTGGAGACCATTTTTTCAGGCTAATGGCCCTCGACCTGAGTCCACTAGTTTACGGAGATAGATAACGGTTAGTTTTATTGTGTGTCTATTTTGACGGGATATATATTTCACATCTCAAAATATTATTATACTTATTATAAATGTAATTTTATGTTAAATATTTATATTATAATTTATTATATTATATATATAAACCGTTGGTTTTCGACCGCTACGACCCGGGTTCGATTCTCGCATTGGGCACTTTTTTTCTAATAAAAAAATGCTCTAATGGCCCCCGATTCTTGCAAAAGTCCAACCCCACCAGCGAGTACAAGTAATCAAACGGGGCTCTGGCACATTTGTAAGTGCAAAAGTCGAACTGCTTTTCACACGTGTAGACATGTCGTGCACTTACAGTAAAAACAGTCGCTTACTTCTACCCACCATGATTATGATGGCCTGTACTACGTGTACTAGTGATAAACAAAAAAATTATATTATATATTTTTAATTATTAATTCACGCTGAGGAGCGCCAACAGCGCGAAACGCGTTCATAGATGTCGTTTTCTTTATTTATAAAGAAATTAGGTTAGCCAAATATCAGGGAACAGGCTAAATCAATGTTTAGTTGATTTCTGTTTCACTAGATGGCGCTCTGCCATCTGTAAAGCACGTGTGCCCCTAGTCAGGATATGCCTTTTTTATTTTTAATTTGATTAATTATATTATATAATTATATTTATCTCATATATTAATAAATAAGTAAGTAGTTTACATTTTCGTATGTGGTATATTATTCATGGTATAAATACATTTCATTCAATATATATATTTCTAAACAATATGCAAATTAGAACGATATAATATTTCCAGTTTGGAGAGTCCACAGAAATCAATATAAAATCCTTTTCAACTCTAACTTAACTTGGGACGCCATCTATCAATAAAAATTAAAAGCTTTTATTCCATTTACCCTTTGGTTTTATGTTTATGGCGTGTTTCTCTGGTTAATGGCTTGGCCTAGTTTGAAACCCATCAAACTCTGTTTGTTCCTTTTAGAATTTCTCGATATTTGACCAATCTGGATGGGATTTCATCAAGATATAGAATTTAGTTTTGATTTTGTTGATGTGTGCCATCATGTCAATAGTTTCCAACCCAGCATATTGTTGGGTCAGATTGTCGTTTGGCAGACTCTTCAGCCTTGATTCTCTCCTCAGACATGTCTTGTATCTTTCCAGAACGTGTTTCAACCATCCTACAAATTTATATAAGTGAATAATTAGATAACTGGATGGGGGAAGAAGTACGACCACATCTCTCTGGGGTCCCACTGGACCCTGGGAATATTTGACCAAATTCTGGTTCGTTTCCAAGGTGACTAACGTGGCAACGGCACCTGTTTTCCAATGAATTGACATGAACCCAGAGCAGCAGCTTTACACACCCAAGATAGTGGACATTGCGGCTGCTGTGATAGAGATGTATGGAGACATCCGAGGCTCTTCATTGGACACGACAACAACAACATGAGATAACTCTACTTTAAGTAGCCTCCAGAATAATTTATTTATTTCTCACATCAAAGAGAGCTGTGATATCTTACAGCATACCAAAAAGCAAATGCTGATTTTTATAGTACATAATCTGTTTATAATATATATTCTAAGAAAAGGTCATCTCCTTATCGTGCAACTGAGAGTTGCTGATGGCTTGCGCCATCTATCAGTATAAATATCAACTATTCTCGTTGATTTTTAATTATTCCAGAATTGGCCAAATACCCATTCTTGATTAATCAAGAAAAGCTAACCACGGACGCGTTTCGGGCTGTTGGCCCTCATCAGCGTGGTGCAAGCTGTACCTCCACGACCAAAAAAATAAAATTGGTCATTAATACATCCTGAAAAATCATGAAACGGGTAGTTAAGGCCAGAATTGCGTGATAACGCTACACAATGTGAAAAAATAGTACAAATGTGATATTGAACTGGGATAAGGTGCATAAATTAAGAAAAAGGCATCTCTTTATCGTGCAACTGAAAGTTGCTGATGGCTTGCGCCATCTATCGGCGCAATAGGTGGCGCAAACCATCAGCAACTTTCATTTGCACGATAAGGAGATGCCTTTTTCTTAATTTATGCACCTTATCCCAGTACAATATCACATTTGTACTATTTTTCACAATATATATTCTGTTTAATAGAATAAATAAATATAAAATATCAATTTGAATTCAAAATATTGTCAGGAGGGCAGAGTTTCCTGGTGTTCCCTTTTAACTTGACTGGATGGACCGTTCGGGGAAAACAGTGGCGCCACATGGAAGGTAGAAAAACTCAGTTCTCCCCTCTTGCTCTAACTGCTGGGTCTCATGTACATAGTAAATTTTATTTTATATTTGAAATCTCTCATATAACTAATTAAATAAATATTTAAAGTACACCTATCCCCCGATTTACACGGTAGATACTTTCCTGAGAAAAACGTGTAAATCGGGGGATAGGTGTACACAGAAATAAAAATAGAATGCATTGACAGGTTAAAATATGTAGTCAGCACATATAAGCTCGGGATTCCTCGTGAGATGTGTACACAGCGCATGTGTTCAATCACAGTAGCATTTAGTATAGTGCGATAAAAAAAAACTTATTTGGAAAACCGTGTAAAAGTGAAAACGTGTAAAACAAGTACCGTGTAAATCGGGGGATAGGTGTAATTCGGAATAATATTACAAATTAAAATAAAATAGATGTATTAGCCATGATCATCAATAAGTTTATCATCCAAATAAAGAACAAAATTGAATATTTTGATACAAAAGAATAATGATAATATTAATTTGTTAATATTATAATCACTACGGTGTAAACTTATAAATAAATAAAATTCGCTGTGGAAGGAAGAGTTTCTTTTTAATTCCCTCAGCGAATTTTATTTTATTTACAATAATATTAATTTCAAGCCTTATACATTTAACTAATTTTGAAGCCTCAGAATATTTTCTTAACTTTTTTAAAATTCATTTTTCGTTGAAATTTTATACAACGAATAATGAATTACGAACGGAAAAATATGTCCAGGGTAGCCTAGTGGACATGGAATCTTCTCGGTAAGCGGAACACTGTGGGTTCGATTCCCAAACCTAGACACTTTATTTTTCCGTTTATCATTACTCTTCAAAATTCATTCTTTCATTTTTCAGGTTAGAAATAATCGTTATTTCTCCTTAAAATGAATTTTTAATTTTTGTTCAAAAGAATCACATTCGGGATAATTTTCAAATGTCGTTTTACTGCCCTTATATATGCTAAAAGATACGAAATCCTAAGTTTTTTATATGAGTGTATACATTGAGTCTCTCCTGTTAGAGTTGAGATTATATCTTACTTCATCTTCGCCATTAAAGTACATCGAGACGCAGGTAATGTCCCAACTGGTATTTGAAAACATAAACTACGTTCCTGCATCTAAACAGACAGATACTTACCAAATGAAGAACAAAATTGACAAAACAGGGAAAGTCAGACTTTCACCATAGTGTGCCTGGATCATGGTTCCATGAACAACGAAAGCTGCTGCACCCCTACACCCCATTCAATGAGGCTCGAGGAGCACGAACTCATGGAATTTGTGCAATCATTAAACAAAGGGATAAGAAAAAACAACACGGAATTGAATATAAAAGAGGCTATGGTGATTGCCGAGTTGCAACAACTTGCTGGGCGTTGAGCCAATATGCAACAAGGAAGCAGCTAACTCTCTATGCAACTCGACGATAACAACCTTGCCAGTAATTACGTAGGTAATTAGGTTTATCGCTGATAGATGGCGCTATTATATTGCTGAGTAGACACGCCCTCTCGTGTGATTGGTTCAAATTTAACACATAGGATGTATTTTTAACGATTTCAATGCGCTACTGATATGAGTCGGCGTAGAGAATATTAAATCGATATTTAATGTATTGTCGCCTAGAAAATCAGGAAAGACAAACCTCAGTAGCATACTAAATATAATCGATACATTATATTCGCTGGTTTTCTTCAATTCACTCTTCAAACTAGAGGTATAGTTGGAGAACAAGACTTCTCTAAAATGTACCGGGCGTTCCAAAACCCTAACTAGTTTCAAAGCACTGGTCTTACAAAAACTCAACAGAAATTTATTTGAAACACAAGCACAAACTAAAATTTATAGAATACATGAGAAGCAATAAGCTAAGTATACAGAGTAGCGAAATATAAGTATCAAAGTTAATAATATGTTCATAAAATATCAAATATTTATCTGCATTGCTCCTTCCCTATGGGAGCTGTGACTCACAGCTTGGAAATCTTGTTGATGCTGACATCGATCTGTGACGTGTTTCTGCCAAATATTCCCTCGAAGTCTTGGAACTTTGTCCCTTGCACTTTAACGTCCTTTTTCTTGTGGCGTAAAGAGCGGCTTTGTCGTCGTATCGTTTATAGGGACATCGTTATCTTGGAGAGGAGTCTTAGCTTTAATACAGCGGTGAACCTAAAGCCAGTAGCTGAAAATGTTGATCACAGAACTCATTGCCTCAAGGTCTTCTTGGAGATCTTCAGTTTGTCTTCCCTAATTTACCCATATACCCTAAAGTAAAAAAATATACTTTATACACAAAAAAAAACATCCCATTTGCCCAAAATGTAGTTTAGCACCTGCAGCTCCAAAATACATTTTGGCTAATATTAGATGCACTTAACAGGACCTTTGGGAGAGGCCACTGCTTATCCTCAAATAGCTCGAGGAGCATGAACTCACGAAATTAGTGTATTTCGAAAAGTGTATCACGAAAATTTCCATGTCCCTCCCTCATACTGACAGATAATAATTCCATATACACAGTAATATACACGGCATACATAGCAATATATATGTGATACTTAGTTATTTTAATTATTCAAATAATTAATGATATTATATATATAGCGTCTATATTTAATATTCCCATGATATATTTACATAATTTAATTACATATTCACCGTATGACCTATACATATAGCATATTAATTATAGTGATTCAACACTGTACAGTTGCATTTTATTAAATTATTAACCACATTTATCATACCTGTTATAATACGAATTCAAAGTATATTCAATGACAAAACCCAAGGATGTTGTTTCCGGTCCCAAGCCCGGATGAAAAAGGAGGGGGAGCAGTAACAAGCTCACTAAAAAACCTGGGCTCAGCTGGCCCGGCTGATAGTACCCTGTAAAGGCTCCTAATCCAGGGATACAGGATGAGCAGCGTTTGTACTCTATGTTAGGAGCGGCTGCACATGACGTCTGTTCCTCATGTCAGAGGTGGCCATTTTTTTGGAGCTAAGTCGGCCTGCCACTGAGTAGTGCTCCTAGTCTTAATGACAAAGGCAGACGCTTTTTACTTAACCCAATCATGATTGTTGTCAAATGTCCCAAGCTTTACAAGCTTGATACCTTAATATGATTGAGTGGAGATAAGAAAGAAGACGAAGAAGGATGTCGTACCATTTAGTATGTACATCCAGACAATAATTCTGAAAGAGAGTTGATACAGTGACCTGTATTGAAGACATGAGATAACCAAGTGTGAAAAAATGGCCTCTGTCTCCTTCAAAAAAGAAAAAAAGATATGAAAGACTTTACACATCCTTAAGTGTCGCCCATGAGTGTATTTTACCTATATTTTTTCTTTTACCCATAAAACAGCTTCCTACTGTCATTACTGCAATGAATATTTATTAGGAGGGCTTGGCTCATCAGTGGTGAAACCACTCTGAGGTTTAATCTATTTAATCTACAAGATAATTCTACTATTGTATTGGAATATTCCACGCTTGTTATAGCCAGAACTGAAAAATTCTCATTTAAAGTATATTACAAACTATGGGTATAATCTCTGTGAATAGTAAAGGTATATACAAATAATTGCATTGAGCATTTACAAAATGTCATTTAGGCATATGTGCTTGCTATTATTCCTATAATTGCATAAATAATTAAGGCCAGATGTAATTAATACACCTTTCTTTCTCATTTTTAATTAGACAAACAATTTATTATGAATTACGATGCACTAGCGCGCCATCTGTTATGAAAATTAGAAAATATTTTAGACGCGTAAGATTCTTTTTGAAATTGAACAATTTTACTGCTCTTACTGCAATGGAAACTCGAAGCATATTATATATTTATAATTGTATGAAATTCTACTGTCCTCAAAGCTTATATCCATAGTTCATCTAAAATACCCATTCCAAGAGTCTTGCAACAGAATTACTATAAAAGGAAGATCGAAAAAATGCAATATAACAGCGGTTAGGTAGATTAAACTGGCGAAACCGCTGGGAGGGTTCACCACTGAGGAGCCAGGTCCTCCCTTTAATTTTTCCATTTCAGTAAGGGCAGTAGAAATGGTTTAATTTCAAAAAGAAGCTTACGCGTCTAAAATGGTTTCTAATTTATTAATATTATTTTTTTTTTACTTATCCTTTTAGTCTAAATTAGACAAGATCTTGAAGGTCGTGCTCGTAAAGAAGCTCAAGAACTCTTCTTGGTTCTTTGTACAGGGATCTTTTGTCATTTCCAATGCAATTTAGTAAATGTTGGGGAGTGGCCTCTTCGGTTTTGCACCTAGTGCACATGGGAAAGCTTCTAATTTATTATAAATATTGAAAGTGGTAATTCCGGAATATTTCTACGATAGAAGAGTCTTTGATTCACACACCATTGTGGTATAGTCTATGTTAATTGACATCTCTGTCTTTATATCTCAGCTTTGTTGGATTGTTAGTTGGCTAGTGGTTATTGGATAGGACAGGCCGGCGTGAGCTGCTGATGTACATATATCTATATCTCTTATAAAGGATCCATAACATTGTTAAATTACATATCAATTTTAGAATTTCAGTTGTAAATATCAACGCTGCGCGCGTATATATTTGTAAATATTTATTGTAAGATATAGTCGATATTGTTTTAAGGCCGTTGAAGAGCGATTATCACTTGAAACCTAGCATTTTGTAATAAAAATAAACTCGTTGTGAGAAAATATTTTATATATATATATATATTTTCATAATTCTATCATGGAAAGGATCTTTCTATTCTACGAATCTATAATTTTTTCCGAACAATTTATTTATATACATTTATAAAAGCATAGGGCGCCTCTCCCGTCAAAATAAACGTCAAACCCTGACGCCATCTATTGACCGTCGCCGCAACTAGCGGCCTCGGGTCGGTGACAAAGCCACAACACCAGCTTTGGCAAACTGAGAAGCGTCCACCTAGAGACCATGGTTTCGGGCTAATGGCCCTCGTCAGTCTAGGGTGGACTTTATTCCATGAGATCCACACGGGATCTAATGGAATCTTCACAATCTACCAAAGAGGTGTTTTGCTGGCAAGGTGGCTGGGCCAAATCTATGGCGTCAGGTTTTGTCGTTTATTTTGAAGGGAGAGGCGCCCTATGCTTCTATAGATCAATTTCCTCCCGGCAAATTTTCCATCTATATATATATATAATTTCCTTACTACCTGGAAAACAGCTATTTGAACCTGTGAACATGCGGATATAGCTGTCTTTTATCATTCTTTAAGAAACTCCAGGCATCTATATTTTTATAGAGGTATAGATAAAGATTGAAAGAATTAGGTTTGAAAGGAACAATAAAGAAGTCAGAAGTTTCGCAATGCGACAATGTTGGACAGTCTCTGAATGGAATAATGCTGCCGGCAAGTCGAAGATGATTGATAACAGAACCTCCGTATGGATTTTAAATTACATCTTATTGTGGACGTAAACATATTTATTTACATAGAATGTGTTGGTTATTGTTGTTTATTTATTGTGAGTAGTTGCCACCACGCTGTTATCAGACTGGGTCTGAAGGTAAACATATTTATTTACTTGGAGTGTGTTGGTTATTGTTGTGTGTTTCTACCTCTGCCGAATCTATCTTATTTATATCGTCACTACCTTTATCTCCCTCACTGGGGTTTCGTTTGATGTAAATATATTCAATTTAATACTATTTTTAATATTTTGTTTAAATTTTATTCCTGTTTTTTTTACTGTTGACTAGCGGTAAATAAACATTTGTAATTGTTAATTAGCTCTATTTTTTTCTATTAATAATC